TTGTTCTGCCTTCGACGAAAAGTAACCGTAGCGTAATCCAATCTCGATATTCCTTGGTTTGGAAATACGTATCTCGTGGTAGCGATAATCGTGCCGGCTTAAGGACGCTTATGTATCTTAAGCGAAGTAAGGAGTTGGGCCAAGGCGCAATCAGCGATGGCGTTCGGTATCGTCCGCGGAGCCCCTGCTTCTCTTAAGGCAATAAACGACGGAGTACCACGGCGACGACCTCGAGACTCTCGTAGAATTTCATAATTTATTCGCTTTAACGAAGCAATTCGTATCGTCGGCGAAAATTAAGGCATTTGTTATGCGATAAATTGGCTAGGTAGAGAAGGGCCCTTCTACGTAGGCAATTTACCCAGGGGGCTTACCGTAAGCCCTGCTCGAGCCTTGCGAAATCCTCGAAAGCACATCCCAACTGCCGAATCGAATGTGATAAAAATATTTATTGGCACCATCCATTTCGCAGTTAATTACTTCGGTCTTATAGGATTATATTTTCAGGGAAATTCGGAAAACTATTTATACAAGCCGACAACGTGTTATGTTGTATATGTATAGATATGAGTATTATGTAAGCAGCGCTTTATTGCAAGGATGCTTCATTCTCGTTATTAAACCCATAAGGCACTTGGTTCGTGTACGAGTACGTGCGCCGATAATATTCATTTTTTTTTTCTTTTCGTCTCAGACACCCCCCCCCCCATTTCATTGTAATTTTTTTTCCTCTTTTTTTTTCCTTCACTCACCAGAATAATCAGCTAGTAATAACAGTTTCTCGGCTGTAAGGAACCTTGTTGTTCGTTCTAATTTCTTCGCTTTCAGTAGCGCCGCTTTTTCTTTGTGCCCGGATTACTATTAAAACTTGCCGCCTCACGGCGAGGTTATTCTCCGGGGCTTTTCTTATTCACGGCGCCCAGAGCCAACGCCGCGACGCCCGTTGTAGTTGCAGTCGTCTCTCACGACGTGGCGTGATAATATTTTTACGACAGGCTAAACAAAAACAGCTTTTATTTACCGTACGTGTCAACGGTACAATTGCATTGTTAGGCGCAAAGGTAGAGAGCGCATGCGCGTTGACAGGTATATAAGAAAATTAAATATTTTCGTTATACCCTGACTTACTGGACTGGTGAGTAAAATTCAAACTTTTTATTTTATATGCGAAAACAAAAATTTCTTTTGCATCTCGCTAACGATATACGTTTTTTCTTTTTTCCTTCGAATCCCAATCTGTCGTAATTTTCTTTTATTCTCCTAAATCAATCGAATCTTTAATATTTTCAAAGCTTTTGTCTCCCGAAAATGAATTACTCGTTGAACCTTCATACAAAAAGGAGGGTAGAAATTACAGAGAGCCCATAGTATTCTCGATCCAATTCAATTTACAGAGAGAGACGAGAGGAGAGGGTTTACGAAGATAGGTACAGAGAGAGAGAGAGAGAGGGAGAGAGAGAGAGAGAGAGAGAGAGAGAGAGAGAGAGAGAGAGAGAGAGCGGAGAAAAAGTGAGAAATAGAGAAAGGAACGGAACCGAGGTATCTACTTTGATTGAAAACAGTTCGGTCTCAATCTCGACCATCTCAGGTTCCAGAGAATTCCTGAATAAATACTGAACTGACTTTCTCGCTTTCGGAAACAAGAGTCGATGAGTTCCCTATGAAAGATAAGTAAAAGAGCCCGTAACTTATCCGAGCTCATCCGAAATAAGACGAGCTCATCGAAGATCAGAAAATTCAAATTTAACCGCCAATTCTCAACGATCACGGATTCCATTCGCCGTTAGTCACGGGTTGTTAATTATAATTGACAAAAAGTCTCGAGAGGTGGCAGCACTGTTTCCTACACCTCGAATCAAAATAACACGCAGTCCGATTACAAATCGTCTCACTCGCTATCGACCCTACGCGAGTTACTCATGGTAAGTGCATTTTTTGATAATTTAATTTGGATTCACCCTTATTTTCAGTGACCTTTGACCTTCCTAAAAGGAATATTTAATAACGTCCGACCTTATACGTTAAACTCTTTCCGATAAAGATTTTGTCAAGGATTACCTATATTGCACAAAGGTCACTGTTAAGCTATAAACATTTCTAATGGCCGCGAGACGTATAAAAATCATCCAACCTTATTGCCAGACTCTTATCTGCCACGACATTAGCCAGTGCAGCCAACAATATATCGCTTTTGTAATGGCTATCTCAAAGCAGTGAGGCCCTCATGCTGTGTGTATATATATATCACTGTATATTCCGCGATATAACTCATGTCTATAGGACCTTTATACCTTCCGGTACCGCTGACGCGTTCTAGAATATTTCCAAAGCGATATCGGTCTTCAATATGGATTCTTATGACTTTCCTACTGCTTCCACATATGCGAAGTTCGTACATGAAATCGCTCGAGGCTATTGATATCGGCGACATTAAAAGTTGTTCACCGATAACCCTAGCGACAGTCGCCCGATTGAAAAGTGCGTATTATAAAATATTGCACCTCAAAATTTAATGTCACTATGATTATAGGATATATCGATGGATACTGTAAAGGGATTGCAGTGTTAAAAAAACAAGTGTATGGAAAAGACAATGTACAAGGAAATCGATATTGCACCCTTCGTCGTTTGTTAAATCGATATTAGAAATTATATGGATGATTGAAAAGGGAAAACGAATTGCCTGTAATGACGGGGGTAGTAGATAACCACGCGTGAAAACAAGAGGGGTATATATCCTCGCGGACGATTAATCGTATCGCGCATTGTGAGGTAAACGCAATTCCCACGACTATTCTGACGCAATTGCGCGACAAGACTTTGGTAATTTGTAGCTCGCGGTTCTGTTATTCAGGGAATATAAACGTCTCGTTTAATCTATTTGCCTTCGCGCGATATTCAGACGTTAATCGGTATGACCCGTTTGTGCGAAATCGTCCTACATGATAATAGACATTGTATATATATATATATATATACATATATATATATATATATATATATATATGTTTATGAATATAACATAATATATTATATACAAATGCATCAACCAAAGTTACCTGCAATATAAATTAACTGAACGGGCTAACTTCAGATTGTACGTTCAACACGAATAACCCTATATAAGGTTATTCAGGACTGTTGGACAACCTGAAGATATCCCATTTGCTTTCTATTAATTTTCACGATAGAACCATCCTCAGAGGGTACGATAATACTTAATAACCCTATATACGATATCTATATATTTTACATTACCTTATCAGCATATCGTACGTGTATCGAATATAGATGCGCATAAATAATTATATACCGTATAAGTAATAATTGCTAAAGCTAACATCAGTCTGCTTCGAATCAGCCAAGAAAGTTCGTCTAAACTCGCTTTATATTTCTTTGCTTCTCTGACTTCGTTTCTGCAAGGATTTCAACTCCCTATACCCTATTCACGAATACTCCTCTCCCATGCCAAAAGTTCCTGTGGCCTCCGGCAGGCGTCGCTCCCGTCCCATCCTCCAACAAGACGTCTACGTATACCTGAACGCTTCAGCTAACCTCCTTCGTTTTCATTCCGCAAACTTAATTCACATTATGTCGTGCGCCGAGTAGAATTCCCCCCTCTCGGATACGTGCCAGAAAGAGATCCGCGTGTTTCATATCAAAATTGGGCTTCTCCCTCCCCCTCATCGGCCCTCTCTATCTATCCATCTCTCTTTATCTCATTATGACTTCCCCTGTCTGCCTTCAAGTACTGCAAATGAAAAGCTTCTTCGTCGTCGCGGCTCGAAGGTATTCCTTAACGTGTATAACAAGGTAACGAATGGAGGATAGAGGAGAAATTGGGGCCGAGGAATTGCCGGTATTTTCTACGTCTTATTAAATGCTGTTAGTTTACTAATTGGCCACCTGGCGCGAAAACTCGAAACTTCGAGACAGCTCTTAGCGAAAGTGTCCCGTCTATAGATACTGGTAGGTCGCGGGTTATGGGTTGTAGATTGAAATGTATAAGTCTCCGTAAATGTATATAGGTATATGAGTATATGCTAAAACACGAAACGCCATTCTGTCACTGACAGATAGTCACTCCCCTGCTTTGAAAGGGTTATTTAATCACTGTAACGGCTACCTTTGCCATTATTAACGTACCTCTATTAATTAGTTATAATTAATTATCGACGTCGTACATCATGCACGGTTTGGCACCCTTATAAAGCTTTACAGCTTGACGCCCCGACTACGTTCTCTACCTATAAACTGTCTCGCGCTAACAGAAACACCAATCACCTTCGATCATCGAACCGGTTAACATGTCCATCCATATTAACGCGGTGCATGTGTTGTTGCAATCTATAGCTACGAAATACCGTTCGCCGGATGAAACTTTACTTACTGGTATATTAAACGTGACCTAGCTTAACGTTACGTAGCCTCTTTGATAATTAACGTAAAAGTTCAGAATTCAGTCCTACTCCCTCTTATCAGCGAATCCCTTAAAATGCCCTAAGCCTATTAAATCAACGTAATCCGCGTGTTAAATCTCTGATACGTTATTATATATTCGTAGGTGGACCTATAAAATTTCAAGGTCGCAGGCTACTTTTACATTCACTATTCGTTTTCGAAAAGTTCCTTCTTGATTGTGTAATTTTAATGTACCTCGAGCGTCATTTAATCAACGTAATTGACCTGCCGAATCTCAAATACTTGATTTTGCATTTGCGAATTGAACATTGGAGTTTAAAGGTTACGAATTAATGTTTGTTATTGTTTTATTATTATATGCAGTCTTTGAGTGTAAAGTGTGCCTAATTAATTTTATCTTTTAAGTATAGTCGAAACTTTTCTACACGATGTATTTATTGTTCGAGTACAAAAATATTTCACGAGGCTAAATAATTTCAGAGTGCTTGAAGCATCTTCGATGATCTCTTTTTTTTTTCCATTTATTATTTAGTGTGAGCTCTGCTTACGATAATTACACTTTGTGCATCTACTTTCAGATTGTTCACCGGGGAAAGTGGTAGCTAACGAGTTGGGTCCAGAGTCCCGTTTTCGTCAGTACTACAAGAGAGGGAAAGGTAAGCTGTAATTAGTACTGGAAACGCTTAGAAAATAGTAAAAACTTGCATTCAGTTTTAGGACAATAGAGTTTCTTGTATATGTACATGTTACATATGTATAAAGCGTAAATTATTTATTCACAATATTCTTTTTAACGAAACGGCGATTAAATCCTTTTTCTCCCAACTTGCCGTACGTTCTCAACGTATTTTCTCGTTATCCACCTCTTACATAGTCATTATAATCGTCTTTCTTCAGATCGTCGAAATACGCTAATCATTACAGCCATTCTAAAGAACTGAAGCTTTAATGACGTCTCAGTCAAAGAAAATGTGAAGATAAAGATTGTTTTTGGCATAAGGTATAGGAGTCAGTGGCATCTTTAATATTTAACATAAATCAAAAATCACTAGTGACATACGCAAGAGCAACAGGTCTTAACTGCTTCCTTCTTAAATGGTACTTTAAACTCTATTACGTTTAAAGTGTATTCCTAACACTTATACACACAAAGTCGACAAACTTACTCGTGTCTATTCCAATTATTATATCCTTCGAGGAACATTCAGGACTTTCAGACACTTACTATAGAAGCGTTAAAGTTACAATTAGATCTAACCTTCGCACTGTGTCCTAATACCTTTCGTCTTACTGCTAATGGAAATCGGCGCAGTAGCGTTGTGCGCAAATAATATCTAATTGCCGAACACAATTAATAACGTACGATCTCGCCAAGAACTCCGAAGTACCATAAACTTTGGGCGTAGTGAAAACATAGAGCACAAATTTTCATGTTAAGCTTAGCAGTAGTCAGCTGGGAATCTCACGAGTACGAAAAAGTGCCGCTAGGTGTCACTGCCGTAGAGAAATTCTCGTGGTAGGGGTCAGGTCGGTTGCTATATAAACGGCCCTTCTCAGATATTCCCATTAAACCTTCGAGTTGAGGTCTCGAAGACGAGAAAGAACGAGGGTCGCAATTCTTTGTGTTATCGCGATTCGCTTTGTCGTACGAAATCGTTCTTGGATCAGCGATCTGTCAGAATAGTCCTTCGAGTCGTCCTCACGGCCGAGACGAAGTTTTCGTCAATGAAAATTCGCTACCGGGATTTGAGTGATAAAGTACTTTCATACGGATGATCCATAGGGATGGGCTCTGGCTCGAATGAGAAAGTAATGCGGATATTCGTCAATACCAAACCCTCCATTCTGTAGGTTTGGCAGACATGCCGAGAAGCTTTACTTACCAACCTTTGCAGGCTAATCCCACGAGACCAAAAACTTCTTTCAAGCATTTATATACTCCGAGGCCCTATACTTTTTCTTCGAGAATAAGGTTCGACGTATTGGTATATCAATTCTTGGCAAGAATTTTGTTTTAACCCACCCCCCCCCTCCCCCCCAATAGTGCAACGTTCGAATTCAAAATTGTATCAGGTATTTTTTTTCTCTTTTACACTATGAGAATAATTGCATGTTCATGTAATAATAAGTCAACCTTTTTTTCTTTTCCTACCTGCCGTAAAGTATTCTTACCAAGTTCCCCGTAGACTGATTTATAAGATTTGGACTTATTTGAAAAGTTTATGCAATTCTGTCGGCGCGGCACGCGGTCTGTAAGCATTCGAGAAACTTGAAACTTTGCGAATAATGCAAAGCGAGCTTTATTGAACCTGAGGTACTGGCCATTAGATGCATTTCGATATTGGAATATCATAAACTCCCGCGTCCTTGCAATCGACGCGTCGCGATGCTTCGTTTCGTCGTTCCCGTAAATTTCGGTATCTAGCAATTTATCGTCGGACACCGTTCCTTAATACATGATCGTAAATACCGTACCGAGCGTCCCTACCTGACCTCTTTGTACGACCTTAACTATTCCTCTTAACAAGTGCTTTTCTCCTTTCTGCCTATACCGAATATTTTCGACGAAAGCACCAAAGTCAAATTCGATTGGCGGATTGCCTTGAAGTAGCGCGAATGTTCATTTCCGTCGCGGCGATAACAATCTAAATCACATTCTTGGATTCAGAAAAGAGAGCAGTAAGGGTGGAATCGACAGGAGATAGGTTAGGATAGGGTATGCAAAATTCCGCAGTATCCATTTGAAGATTCTAAAGAAAGAAAGTGAGAGATAGAACGACGACAGGAAGAAGAAGAAGAAAAAGAAAGGAAAGGAGTGAGTCGGAGAAAGAAAGAAAAAACCGTCTTCGATCCAACGTCATCTATTTGAGTCCTCGACTCTAGGGTGAACGACGCGAGACTTGAAAGGCTCTAAAAGGAGAGAAAGAGGCTCGAGGAGGAGACGAGCGAGAAAAAGTTGAGAGTTCAGAGGTCACACTTCGGGGTCGCCGGTGCACCGCTAGAAATACACTAAGGAAACATAGCTGGAAGTGACGTTAAAGGCGAATACTCAAATCTTGTCGTAGCTAAATTATATAGAAATTCTTGTACCACACAGGGTAGTAGGGCATAACTCTGCATACACGGAACAGACGCAGTTGCCACCCTCGTATACAAGTTGACAATGTTTATCATAGATCAAACACGAGTTGTCAATCTTACAGACTTTTCATCGATATATGACGTAAGCATCTTGCAAAATCTTCTTACTTTACCAGATCGATCTCCCGAAGTTATGTACAGTCTCGGTTATCTTGGCAACCCTCATACCTTATACCCTCGTATAATTTCTCAGCTGATCGCTACCCTTATTTGTGTAATGTATAAACTTATCCAGGGGACTACTTCACCGAGTGACGTTGGACCCCCTACATTTGATTTCAATAGTAGCGCCAACTTCGGCTGGTACAATAGTTCTAATCAAGTATGTACAATGTATACGTCTGATGTATACATATATATTATATCACGATTAATTGTACACGGTATACATAATACGAGAATCTTGTTCGTTTCTATCAGTATACAGAATGGTTGAGTCCCTGAGGCGGGTCAGACAGACGTGTATCGACATAACGCCCTTATTAATAGTTCTGAATGTGAATTAAATGGCCCCTGGATATTCGAGGTCTTTGTATCATGGCAAGGGGATTGGTGGGGTAGTGGTTATATTCTGCTATTGGTTAGAGCGAAACAGAGTGGGTATAGATTGACTGCGACGCCATTGGCACACATTTTGATGAAGCGTTCTGTACCTAATTGAAGAGAGAGGTGGGGGGGGGGGCGAGAGGGGGAAAGAAAGGGAAAAAGGGCGAATGGCAGATTTTTTTGCTGGAAGGGACAAAAGTCCTTCGTTCGAGATGTTTTTGATTTTTTTTTTCCTCACACCATTTTCGTTCGTTATTCTTTTTGTCTTTTCGTTTTTTAATTCCTTTTTTTATTTTACTTCCACTGATCACTCGCTCTCGGTTATTTCTCTGGATTATCTAGACTTTTTTTTTACTTTCTCTCTCGTCTCTTGCGCCCACTCGAAACGTGAGAACCTTTTTTCTCTTTTTTTTCTCTTTTTTCATTCCTCTTGCAAAGTAGGTCAGACCACTAGCGGCCTGCTAGATTTCTCTCTTATTTCCTCGTGCTGACGATGGATCGATTCGCATCGCATTGACACTCGATTCTGGAAATAAGTCATTAGCATTGTTCGTGGTTTTCAGAAGTCCTACGATACTATTTTTCCCTCGTAATTAATTATTAACGAGCTATCGAGGAAATTTACGATTTGTGTATTCAGCCTCGCTGTTAACTGTGCCGGGTGCACTCGCGGTACGTCGCCTTGTGTGATTCGTAAAATATAATTATAACATCAATATTATTAACACTCGCAAAGAGGGGCATCTGTCTGATCGGATATTTCAATCTTATTGAAATCACTGTTACGTGATCGTTACTAATTTTCGGAACAGTGAATTTATTAATTTTTGTTTTTATCACGTTGTCGACTGTATTTTGAATAATCTATATACACGCGTACTAATATCTTCCTTTGTTGTCTCATAAGACATATTTCATAATTCATGATTTGAAAGACTAATTTCCTCTAATGTAAGTTTTCTTCTAGTATACACAATATGCAACCTCCTCCCCCTAATATCCCAATAAACAATTGAAGATCAATCACGAATTTTACCATAAAGTAAATCAGGAAAATCTATGAAAAACTATAGATATATTTTCTTTGATAGCCAAGTCGTCCAGCAAATAGTCATCCCCATTATAATAATTCTCAAAAACCACCACGTGCGTGCATTATAACAGAGTCGATGGTTGAAGTGCCGATTAATGTGCGTCGAGTGCAGGAGGCACTTTTCACATAAAGTGGAAAGATAAAACTGACATAGGGTTTTAAATAGGGATGGATCATGGATCTAAGTACACTTAGAGGGTAGCAAGTTCATAACGATATAAGGATCGATGGAATCCTTCATAGCGTAGCTTTAGTTACGCGAACAGGGTATTAATCGTTCAGTCAAAGTGACCGTTCTCAGGTAGCCCTTACCCGACCAACAACCAATCGCAATCCCCAGTACGATTAAAATAGTCAAACGTAAGGCCGTAGGAAGTAAAGAGAGAGAAATAAATAGCCGGTCGCTTCCAGGCGCGATTAATCGAAAGTTTCAGAGGGTGTCGAAATCGCGTGGCCCACTGTATAAGCGCGAGATTAAATCGAACGCGTATATACAGGGTGGGTCATTAACAGCGACGAGGTCGTATTTTTCAAAAACGAAGACAGACAAAAAAATGTTTCAGACAGAAGTTGTAGGGTCTCGAGGGTTACGGAAGATTCCGTCATTGAATTCCTTCCCGAGTGCAGGGGTCAAGGCAATTCGAAGGTCAGCTTAAATTTTTTCAATGGGATATACATTGAAAAAGAGGATTCACCTATCAGTCTAAAAGTCTAAGTACACTAATGATCTAAAATTAATGGGTGATAAGATATTTTTGAAATATGAAAAAATATTTCTTCTACGTACCCTGCGTGTTTAACCGGGACGCAAAAGTACAAGCGCACTAATTATCCAAAATTTACAGATATGATATTTAAAAAATATATAGGTATATGTACCTACAAATAATTATAATGATTTATTGTCATGGGGGGTAGTTGTCGCCGCCAAGCCGGACAGGTATCCCAGTCATCCAGACAGTCTACAACCCCTTCCTTGGTACAATCTCTCGACCCCTTTCGCTACCTCTTCGTCAAGCCAACCCTTTTACCCAATCCCACCCCCCTTTCCCACCCACGGCTTCAGTCACGACACCAAGTATAACAACCCCCCTAGAGTCACCCTTCCTTTCGTACTACTCGCTCAAACCACCCTCATACCACGGTATCTCGCTCTCTTTAACGTTTTCAACCCTTAAGATTGCACCGTTACCCTATACCAACCCTACATCTGACAATGTAATATATTCAAACGTAATTAACATATTGCGTAATTATATCCTTGAATTCCATTTAAACGTGCATATCGACGTCACTGGATTCGTGCTCCGCCCTCTCGGTTGTCACCATAATTTATACTATGTAATTTCAAGGAATTACATAGTCGCCGTCGCGATTATACCCGGTAACCTTATCGCAACCGATGGACTCTTTCCTTTTCTATATATATATAAATATCCATACGTTATATATTTACATGCCTGATAAACGAGCGCCCAATACTAATCCACGCGTGAATAGGTACTAATATGTATGTACATACATTGTAGTACTTACATAGGTAACACCCCATATGCACATGAATAATCCACATACGTCTATCCGCTTTTCCCATGCTTAAGATCACGGGACACGTGGACTAGACTCTGGTTCGTGAAATAGGCCGGTTACGTAATATTTACCAGATTACGATTAACGTCCCTGCAGTTTATTCGCGACGGCTGAAACTGGCTCTATTGTCAATTTCAAAACGGCATAAACTTTTTACTCTCGGCACACGCATATCGTAAAGCAACAGCGTTGCCTTTCGTATTTACAATTCAAATCTCCCAGATCAATAGATCGTACCGTCGACGACGTAAACTGCTACTTGGAGGTAGCTGTTTACTTTGACTTTGATCTGTATACCCAGTTCGGGTCAAAGAATCTCTATACGTAGGTTATATGATCGGGCAGGAACTTCCCCAAGTGTAGCCTGTCAGGTCACCGACATAACCTAGACGGAAAGTTAACGGACCAGGATGATGGTTTTGAAAAATGCCGAAAAGTCTTTTCTGACGTTGAAATACTTATTTTTTTTAACCGCATAGTACAAAAACCACATTTTTCTATGGCAGTAGACAACATCCTAGACGGCGACACAAGCCCGATAAACAATGCCCGTGTAATTTGACGTCGCGGCAAAGTTGAAGCCACCGGTAGAAGGCAGAGGGGGGCCTGTCCCAAGAGGATGGATCGTGCGAACGACCTTATGTATATACCTGTACGCGGCTGAACCAGGCAGCACTGCGCTGCCAGGAAAGTAATTTAATGCGCAACCTCAGACTTTAATGCAATAATAAAAAGGTAAAGCGCAAGCCGTGCCGCGGTGTATTAATTTAACTTTGGCGACATCCTGTCCAGGAATACCCAGGAGGTGCTGATACGATATGAAACTAAATTAGGAAAGATCCTCGAGCGTACTCCTGTACCAGCATAGTAGCACGAGATTAATGTGACTGACTCGTGGCTACGTTCAGAGTATACATTGACTGTACGGTAACTATAGAGGGTACCGGTGTTTCATTGTGTCAGGATCATTTTAGACGAGGTAGGCAAGTAAACGGCCAAGTTGAAATACACGAGGCTGATCCGGACTGTGCACATTAACTCGGTTAACAATGGCCGAATGTCAAATGGCACTTTTCATTGTAACAAGGTAGGCGAGAACTTTTAAGTGAAATCCTTCCAATGATTATTCGAATGGGCAGTTTTGAAGATTCGTCCAAGCTCAGATCTCCACTTAGGTTAGGTTTGATAACCTTGCGTACCCTCGTCGGACTCGAGGATTCCCATGTAATTATGTCAACTGACTCCCTCCTCCACATTGTCTGATCTTCCATCCAGCTGGTTTCCCTGGTGACGACTTCACTTTCCAAGACAACCGGAGACCCCATCGAGCTAAATTATTTTAACTGCTGCTACTGTTATTAAGATCCGTCTCCGAGGCCGCGTAATCTGGACGTTGGTATAATTAGTTGAGGAACGTATGAACTTGCTCGATTACATTTGAACCAGCTGGTCCAGGCTTGGACAGCATTGAGATAACAAGTCTGCCACGCCCCTTTGCCACGTAAATATAAACTTTATTATTAGACACGGGTCTCTGACCATTTGGAATTTCAAAGTATAATGTATATACGTGTGTATATATACAGCGTACGTTATACGTTCTCATATCTATTCACGTTGTGTATAACTCCAGCAAAGCATGCTGGGAAATACCAAAGGAGTTAGTAATCGAGAGGGGTAGTCGCACGAGGCGAAAGGCAAATATCAAAGATAAATTTCCTCCCGAACCCTGGTCCGGCACTCGGTATTCAGCCACAGGACGCGAACCCGTTCCCTCTGTCGCAGCAGAGGAAACTGTCAGCAAGAACTAACGTGAAATGCGAATCTTTTGTTGCAGAGCGAAAATGGAGACGTCAAGGGCGATGGAGTTTCTCTGTCTGGTGCTGATGGTTGCGGTTTGCGTGGGTCAGGAGGACTGGGGCTGCCAGCCACCCTGCAAGTGCAAATGGGTCTCCGGGAAGAGGACAGCTGAATGCATAAGACATAACCTTACCCAGATACCAAATTCACTTTCGTCCGAGATACAGATCCTGGACATGACCGGTAACCGCTTGGGTCACCTAGATAAACGCGCGTTCAGTCGGGTCAACCTTATCAATATACACAAATTGATATTAAAGGAGTGCTCCATAGAGACGATACACGTGGAAGCTTTCAGAGGGCTTCAAATCGTCATCGAGATTGACCTGTCGATGAACAAGATCAAGGTTCTCAATCCTGGCACCTTCGCCGAGACGGTGCGTCTTCGTATCCTCCTGCTAAATCACAACGAGATAGAGGTACTGAAGAACGAACTCTTCAACAACATGAGGTTCCTCCAGAAGGTGGTACTATCCAACAACAGACTTAAGCACATCGGCAACAAAACGTTTCACGACCTGCCGGACTTCAAGTCCCTGAAACTCGACGGGAACAATCTGGTAAACGTCAAGTTGAAAACCTTCGAGAACCTGCCGAAGCTCTTCAGTCTGGAGCTGCACAACAATCCCTGGAACTGCAACTGCCACCTGAAAGCTTTTCGCGATTGGACGATAGAGCGGAAGCTCTACACGCAGCCAACGACCTGCCAGCAGCCCCGAAACTTAGCTGGAAAGATGTGGAACGAGATAAGCAGCGATGAGTTCGCTTGTCGTCCAGAAATACAATCGGTGGGTCCAATGACGAGACTTGAGATTGGCCGCGGTGACGTCACGCTCTGGTGTCGAGGGTCCGGAGTACCTCAGCCCCAAATGTACTGGTACCATCGTTCGCATGCTCTGACCAATCATACGAAGAGACACAGCGGGGACGATGCTCGTCGCGGTTATATAATCACCGAGGGCAACGGCTGGCTGAACCTGACCATACCGGATGTCAGTTTGTCTGACAAGGGCGACTATATTTGCATGGCGAACAGCACCGGCGGCCTGACCAAAAAGAACGTGACCGTTAGCGTTCTGGACAGTGCTCTCGATAGCACCGAGAGCGTTATCAGTCTGCCTCTGGCTATCGGACTCGGCGTGATCGCCCTTCTCCTTCTCTTCGTCACCCTGATACTCTGCATCTGTTACTGTCTTCGGCGCAGAACGCGTCACGATGTGAAAAGCGCAGAGGCCACGTCACTGGAGCACCACGGTCTCGGTGAACAGGAGAAGTCACTGATCACCGCGGTAAATCCAGTAGTGAAGCCGCCCAGACGGTACGAGGCGCCCTCTGTCACCTCCCACGGCACTGAGACGACTGAAATTAATCGTACCCTCCTCGACAACGACTCTGTCTTCGGTCAGTACACTGCCTTTATTACGAGACAATGCGTTAAGTAAGGGCACAAGTATATGGGCTGATAAAGTCAGGAGCGCGCCCGCCGCGTGCCCCCTTTATTCTTTTCATTTGCATTTTATATAGTTATATCTTTATTTATTTATACATACATTTCTTTTATGTCACGTATATAAATATCTTTTTTATCACTCTCTTTTTTATCATCTACCTGTCTATGTATGTCTGTCTGCATTATATTTCCTTCTCATAATCTCTTTCTCTCTCTCTCTCTCTCTCTCTCTCTCTCTCTCTCTCTCTCTCTCCCCCTCTCTCTCTCTCTTTCTCCTCGTAATATACGTCACGCACGACCAGCGACGCGTCATTCATTAATTGGTTTTTTATTTTTTTTTTTATTTTTGCGCAGCTGGCAGTGGCGTTGGCGGTGGCGACTGTGGTGGTGGGGTCGGTGGTGTCGATGGTGACGTAGTGGGTGACGAAGAGAGAGAACGAGCGACGTCAGAGCTTGATAACAGAACACTCAGCCGCGGTACCACGTACAGACAGTATCCTCCGGATTTGTTGGCGTTCTCAGGAGGACGCGGAGCCTCGCCGACGAGCCAGGCGTCTACTGCACCGGACAGTTCGCGTCTACCGAATCAGCTAGGGTCAGCTGCGACATCAGGACCAGTGCCATTCGGTTCTCCGTTTGGTTCTCCGTCCTCCGGGCAGTATCCAGCAGCGTTCAAGACGCTACCACACAATCGCAGTGTCGCACCGTACAGCCCTGGTCTGCCCGTTATGCCGCGACATGGGTACGTGACCATACCAAGAAGACCTAGGGCACCGAGCTGGAGCAGTGGGCCACCAATGTCGCCGGATGGCCTTGAGCCAATCTACGACAATCTCGGGCTGCGCACCACTGCTGACGGCAGTTCGGTTCTCTCTCTTAACAAGAGTCCTGAACCTAGTAACGCTATGAAGATCAGAAACTTACCGGGGACGCCGACGTCTCATTACAACACCATTCAGCGCAGCACTCCCAACATACTTACAAGCAGTCCTCTGGACAGGGCTGCTCCAGAAGGCGCTCCCGAGTGGCCGTCCAAGCTCGCCGACGAGATGGATGACTGTCAGATGGCTGGAACCCTCGGCAGGAAGGTCCCGCCCAGGCCACCTCCAAAACCCAAGAAGAAATCGGCTAACGGTCCTCTGTACGAGGACGAGGGTGAGGATGGCACGGAAGTATGATTTGACTACTGAGGATTCCTCGCTTTACGACAACCGGTAGTGCCTTCGAGTGTGAGATGAGAGAGACGATCTGCAGAGAGATAGATAGATAGAGAGAGAGAGAGAGAGAGAGAGAGAGAGAGAGAGAGAGAGAGAGAGCAAGAATGCATCTGAATATGTATACCTGTACCCTTGAATGAGTGAGACGGCATGAGCCACGGAGTATGCGTGATAGAGAGATAAACATAGAAATGAATTTAAAAAGAGAGAGAGAGAGAGAGAGAGAGAGAGAGAGAGAGAGAGAGAGAGAGAGAAGATTCCGCCTTTGTCCACGAATGCTACTCGAAAATCGACAGTCCTTCGTGATTTGCTAGTTTTGCGTAAAACAAAGTCACGCGTGTACGTATAGATAGCACTCACGTGAAAACTATACAGACAATAGTAATTTTTATTATAGCACGTGCGCAATACTCGTAGGTGAAGCGGCAATATCAGGAGTTACGTATACATATGTATAGCTGTCAAAGCTCCGTCGATATCAAAGCTGATGACAGGTGAGAGATGCCAATGAAAATGGCAATCAAGCAAATGCAGCATCTGAATATGTATACCTGTACCCTTGAATGAGTGAGACGGCATGAGCCACGGAGTATGCGTGATAGAGAAAGAGAGAGAAAGAGTGTGTGTGTGTGTGTCTAAGAGAGAGAAAGAGGGAGAAAATAATAGGATAATGAAAATAAAAAAGAAAAGGAAACGAGCTCGTTCCCTCGTTCCGTTTCGTTTCGATTCGTCCGGATTCGGCGAAGACGAGCGCCGCGCGGGGCTTCCAAATCCAGGATCGGTAACGAGACAAAGAGACATTCCGTACGAACGTAGACTGAGACGCGCGTCGGGACGCCTATTTCGTGTAAGATTCTCTTACGTCCAGACCGACCTGTGCTTCTCTTCTCACTGTTTATTTATTATGTAAAAAATGGTAATAGTTGTAATAACGATAGAAACACACTGGTCGACAACGCGAGACAACAAGCCAGTCGCCGCCATGTTCGACTGGCGCTTCATGAAAATCCCATGAAAATTACTCCGCGTCTTTTGACTCTTCCTCAGGATCTGTCGAATGGTTCTTAAGGTCAGACAGCAGATACATTAACAGAATTCACGTTTTAAAGTATTTATCGAAACTCTTGTACTTCTTTCCAACTCATGGAAACCCGACCATTCGTAACTGTCAACTTGTATCCCGCTACCTTCAGAACGAACATTAAGCCGTTGGCTTTCTCGATTACGTGCAAATAATGTCTTGCAAGTTTTCTTGAAGTTGGCCAATCTTCCTTACCGACTGAGAACTTACCCTGTACCAGAGTCGTTGTTGTCTACTATTTATACGACGTGAACATTGAGAATTCCGCAAAGTCGTTTTATCCGATCGAACGAGAGGACGCCCTTCGTATCGCTACGAGTTATTCCACCCTAAAGCGAATATTGCATAATGTAATCCCAATAAGAAAATGTTCCTAAGGGTGAAGTGTAATGCAGGTCACTTAAAAACTTGATCCAACGAGTGCCACGAGGTGTCTGCTGCGATTGGAAAATGCTTGGAGCATCTTCAATCCGGTAGCTTCTAGAAACTCTTGGTACGAGTGGACGAACCGGAAGTGGAGTAATATCGATCGTCGCCTGCAACCGGAAGAGGCCTAATCAGGAGTGCAAGGACTGAGTTCATCGATCCAAACTTGTTCCCTTGGCTTGCGTGACACAGCAGTACTAGCCTTGTACACGAAAACCCTGCCGAAGGAATATGATTTACGTTAATCACAGGTCGCTTGCTTTTCCATCCAACGAATTCTCCAATAGAGAGCTGCCTCTAATGTACGGTGTATCGAGGAGAGACGTTGATTATTAAAAATCAAGAAATTATTGCTTTCTTGCCTGTAGATAAATTCAGGATAGGACAATTTTTGTTATCCGTCGAGGATCGCGAGACTCTTTATTATTATTTTTTTTATCCATGTCACTAATTTAACTAAGAATTATTGGGTAATACTAGTTTTATTTTATTATTTACTGCGCCAAGGATTAGATGATAATAGTTCTTTATTGACTTCGTTAACCCTCGCGCGTGCGCGTCTACTATTTGTACGGACTGATCTAAGAACCGGTTACGGGATGATTTATTGCTACTGTTAGAGAAATTTCGAAAGTAGATTTTAAAGTGCGTTGCTTAGTGATAGCGCGGTGCGAATACGCGAAGACTCTAATTAAATTGATAAGCCAGAAATTTCTTGATAACTAGCATGGTACCGTACTAGAACTTATATAAAATTGGAATCAATTATTTGTATGAGCGATAAAGAATATAATTGAACGAAAAAGTCAAATCCGATGACTGTAAAGTCGTCAACGATTGTGTAGTTGCTTATTTGACGGTCATCAAATTCTACGTTCGTGAGGAATCATCTTTATATTTTCGCAACTAGGATACCTATCAAATGGAATGAAAATTTTGTATTCGCTTCAAATTTTATAATTTTTATTTATGAAAACTCGAAATTCTTCCCGTCGTGCGAAGAACTATCAAATACAGGGTAATTTGAAAATACGTTCATAACCACATTATTCAATCGATATTCGTTGGAATCATTCGAATAGATCAGTTTGTCGAACTACGACACTGTTTTCCCGAATGAAAACAGCGACACGTGGCAGCTCAAAATAGACAAACTTATTTAACTGAAAATCATTGGTACCATGTTATCGAATTTGAATAAAAATCAGTCAAGTTCCTTTTTTTTTGCACTTCGAATTTTGAATCTCACGCCAAATGCGTTATTCATCCTTGTGCAACTTTACACTAGCGAATTAGCTTGCGTACAGTAAGCGTGTCTTTGTTGTCGAGTATGTTGCAAGAGAATTTCTTAAATGCCGACTACGTAAGGATCTGACAGATTCGTAATGTTGAGTCAGGATCAGCACTGGCGCTAAAAGTTAGAAAGCGTTTGATATCATAAAATGGGACAAAGTGGAAAAAAAAGTGTATGACAAAAAATGAATCCAACGATACGATACGAAAAAATTGAACGTTAAATTCAATGAAATGCGTCACGTGCCTCTCGTGGGAGCATCCACGATGCATCCACAAGATTTGCGAAAATCGAATTGAAAATAATAGAATGACAATTTTTGTTATTTCTCTACCAGTAACACGATCTATAAATTGTCTCTTTTTATCCAACATAACGAGTCAATCACGTTCAATTTTCATTTATGACTTTCGAACCTCCAGTGAAAAATTATTGATCCAATTTTTGTCTCACCATTCTGTACCAATGCTGTTACCATAATATTTTCCTGCATAATTGATCTTGTATTTAAAAACACGTAAAACTCCCCTAAGAGAAGGGCTCGCGCCAATGATTATGTACAGGTTGATAAAAATATCTAAAATCATGAAGAAATACTTTCACCAGGCGAATTGTACATAAGCAAAAAATGCCTATTTGTACAATGTAAAAATTTCACCGTCGACGAAAGATAATAATAAGAGGCTTCGATATTTCACGAAAATGAATTTAAAAAAGCGCGCGCGAATTGCGACTCGAGTAGGTACCAAGGAATGTTATCCCCAGAGGTGTATAAAAAAACGAAAAGGAAATCCCCGTAATGATAATCAGTATAAGCTGTTCAGTATTACGTAGAATGCGCGGTTGCGGGACTATAAAAACGTGGGAAGGACGTGCGAGATAATGGCGACGAAGATCGGATAAGTTTGGTTTTTAGAAGCGCGTAGTAAGAATAACGACCAATGCACAAAAAAAGATTGATTTCTACGTCACTTTTACCATCTCCCAGTCGCTATGCAATAATGCACTTTAGTACCTGCGTCGCTTTCGGTATCTGACGCGAATACATTGTATTTGCCAAACTCTGATGCAGATGCAGGTGCGCATGCGCAGATGCGAAAGACCCGTTTATCATTACGCGACATCAACCAACCTGTACGACCTCCATTGTCGTTAAGTATTTTAAGCGGCCTAGCAGAGTCGCGGTTCGTTCGGCCCAACCATCGCGCTGCGATATGTACATACACTCATTGATGCATACTGTTCATATATGTAAATGCGCGACACGTAACTTCCGGCGAGATTGGTTGGGACCGCGCCACGAATATATTTTTGTAATTTTGTATTTTGACGATCGCTACAAATGTCCTACCCACGAGCTACCGCGACGAGACCTAAATATTCCTCATAGGTTATAATAATATAATATAAATATATATATATATATATACATACATATATATTTTTTAAAAAATAAAAACGCGTGTCTCGCTTCCCAGGCGTTTTTGCGTACGTACGTAACGTAACCTATAGATAAATTTATAATGTCAAATGCATCTTCCTTATCGAATCCTTTTTATTGTCTGCGAAATCTTCTTGTTCGGTCACTTTTTTCTTTTGGTGTTTATAGCTGTAAATGTCATTAATAATATGCTCTGTGGCTTCTGCTAAGGAATGTGCGTGCTTTTTCATTGTGAACGGGAGTCCTTCTCTCCTCGGCTCGGCTCGGCTCCGACTCGACGTGGCGGGAAAATTTGAAAAGTCTTATTTGCCGGTGCACCAATCCTCGGACGCATTCCGACCATTTGACAAGTATACGGGAAACGTTTCATCACTCATTTAGAACAACGAGACTCCCGTGGCTCGTTTGTTTACACAGTGCATTAATTGTAATAGCTGGTTAGCTCGAATGCGCATGACGCAACGTCTCTCTGTAAGAGCGAGCACTGTAAATCAGTCTGCTGTTGGTCGCGTTGAAATACACACGTGAACGTATGATATTTGTCGGGATAAATTTGTCAATGTTGGTATCTAGTATGTGAAAAGTCTTTAAACGGCCTATTTTCGGGAGAGACGAGAAAAAAGATTCTAATGCTTTTACGAATAATATTAAAAAAGAAAACATTTAATTATTGACATAAATATTTAATTATTGACATAAAATAACTGGTCGATTTTTCATTGAATTTTTTATATATGATTTAATCGTCCGAAAGGTATTTTTAAAATATGAATTCTCATTCGGTAATTTTTCTAATACCACGTTTCACAGTATTTTCTTATTTTGAGAACAGATATTTCTTCAAAAAGAAATACCTGTCGATTGCTGTTCTGTAATTCTCGTATGATTTGCTCCTGATACCGTCTAGCATAAGTGCACCTAATTGTCGCTTCGTTGCATGTCGTTTGATACTCTGAGGACGTTAGTTCGATTTACCAGACACACTATGCCGACGTGTAATTTTGAATTACACTCTTTATCAATTTATTGCCAAATCAAATTACAGTAATACATATGAAAAATGGTGTTACGAATTTTGACAAATCTGCAGAGCACACTGTACCGACCTGCACGGCGAAAAACGTGTCTCTACTGATGGTATCACTGCATTACCGACAAATGAAATTCGGCGCGCATTTTAACAAATTCAAAAATAACTCTGTATTTCATGCTCATGGTATTATACCATCTCAGGAGAAATTATTTTACAGTGTTAACGATCAACGGTAGTTTCGTTCATTCGATCAACAAGCCTAATTCTAATGACAGTTTTCTAGCAGCAACTGTGCACAATGTCAGTGTAAATAATGACAATGCGAATTTCCATTAAAAGAAAGTTTTTACTTTACTTTCCTTTCATATCCCCAAAAGATCTTTGTATCGCGTTAACCGTCTCCCATTGCTCTATGATGCGACATTCAAATTTGTAATAATTCCCGCCACTGCTATATCGTTAGCGTACGCGTGATATAAGTAATCACTTACTGATGATGATTCGTCAGTAGCTATTTGCAGCCGTCACGAATACACGCATGTCAAATCCGAAACGTCGAATAAACGAGCTCGTCGCAAGCCGTCTTATCGTCTTTTTCAGTGAGAACAAAATTGTCGACCATTTTGGAGAAAGAGACAAAAGACTATGGCGCTCGTCGACTGACAACGTTTTTTGAAATAATGTTTGACGTTTACGCGAGCGCCAATGTAAAATTAATTTGTGCATTTTCTGTGGGATGCATATTGACAGTCTCTGAAGAGCTGTATTTTTTATTTAAATTTTTTTAATTCTATCTCGTACACTGCTTCCACCGACCTACTTTCGTTGAGACTTTTTTTTCATGCGCGACAACTTTTAAATAAACTCGATACGCCATTTCAAATGTATATGATTTCTACATGTGTCTCAACGTAGCTAAGTGAACTTATAAAAAATAATGAAATTAATTGTATCAGTTCTCGATGATACTTACTTTTGTTACACTCTATACGTGAAATAGAGATGTTTAATATGTAAGATTGAGATAGGCATTTCTTACTATTCATACATTTATTATCCATTATTGATTGTCATCCTTATTAATTATCGCGTTATTATAATTAATAATAATTGATATTCTTATTATCGTCGTTCATTTTCATCGACATTCTCACTATTAATTTATACTTGAATTTTGTCGTACGGTACGTTGGGCCGAGACTTGCCTCATAATAAATTATTTTTACTTCGTGCTTTGGCGTTATCATTTGAACGATATATGTGTTATATAATATATGTATACATACATTATTTTCTTCAGTGTAACGGCATACTGGCGTATTTGTAAATATTATAAATATTTTATAAATAAAGGAAACTTAGCGTGATTGTAATAATACAATAATGTAACGAATGAACAGCTCTGTACACTCCAACGCATATGTTAAATTTTAATAAAGACCTCCCAATCCTACTTTACGACCTTTAAGGTTAATTCTCAGTTCAGTCTTCATTGTCCTACCGTCCACGTTGAACGTTCAATTTATTTTTGGGAATTCTACAATAATTCAAGGTAAGCCTTCGTTTTATGTAACTTTATTTAACTTAAATATTGCAATGTTATTTTAAAAACACAGTAGCCTCTCACTAAGTGCGCGCTGAGATGCCTTCCCCTCTATCGGTCAACGACTGCGTTCCCCCACCTATAGCCTGACGTTTCTTAGTTTACATCCCTTTCCCGCTACCTTTACTTGTAATCTTTCACGCGAAGGTGAACAGCAACAGTTTGTTCACTGTGCGCAGGGGTAGTAATACGCAAAGTGCCTGTTTCTTCGACTGCAGCCCTGTGCACGCGCACTTACTGAGAGATTGCTGTGACTGCTTTGAGATTTGGTATGTTCTTTGATGACAGTATCTATATAATATCAAAATTGTAATATCACTAAGAACCATTTCTTTGGTCATTGTTTGCGTTGGCTATTGACACAGGTTTCTTTCTTAATTGAGATATATTGCTGTCTCCGTATTTCGATAACAACTCTTCCACAAACATATCCTTCAACTTCTTGAGGCATCTGAAATATCAATGATCGTCAGTATTTTGTATGTGTATTCATGTTTTCCTTTTTTCCATTACAATGTGTTAAAAAATAAGAGGTATTAATCACCTTCTGTATAGTGCATCTGTTCTAAATTTACCAATGTCCACACTAGGAGCATGTGGACGATGAATAATAAAGACATCAGGTAATACGATATATCTAAACAATCATTTTATCAGTGTGACGAATTAGATTTTTTGTATACGTACATAAATCCAAGAAATTCTTACGTGTATCCTAAGGCTGTCAAGTGTGTTAAATAGGAAACTTTATTCCAGCCAAAACCAATGAATCTTATATCATACTGGGGCGCTAAGTTTGAAACCACAATATAAGGTTCAAAATCAGGTTCCCATGATATCTAAAAAGAATAACTTGTTCTAATATACCGTAAGTGACTAATTAATTATAAAATTATTAATTACAATACTACCAACCGCATAAGGTTCAGTAGCGTTGCGCCAAAAAGTATAATTTGTAGCAGCGTGACCTTGTGTCCAAACGTGATATCGAAATGTATAAATTTGGCCACGATTAAGAGACTTGACAAGTTCTTCTTTATTGACGGGAAATGAAAATCTGCAAGAAACAATGATTAGAAAATATATTTTAGTTTTCAAATGAAAGTCTATTCCATATTAATACTATATATCCATATAATGTAACAATTACCGATAACGTTGCGTCTCAAATGCCGGTACTACCAGAGCCGTTTTATCCAAGACGCTTATATTTAACTTAGTGATATAATTCATCAAATTCTGATACAATCCAAATTGTGGAAGAAAGTCTATATCCAATTGAAAAATATATGGCGTCGATACGTAAGACATTGCGATATTTCGGAGGTAATTGATGGGATAAAACTCCTGGAAATTGAATCAGAAAATTAAATTAATGAAAAGTGAATTTCTATTTAATGAATTCTCAATTTAGTTATATTAAAATGTAATCCTCAATCTACTATCCTGAGGCAGCCAAAGAAACGAAAGTGTACAAAGTACTTTTGCCACCCCTGTGATTTTTCTTTTGTTTCCTTATTCCGAATAGATTTATATTTTTGTTGAGAAACATTTCTAACTGCTCTTTTATTTATTTGTAAAGTAAAACTTACGCTTTCTTTGTACACTATGTGGTACGCGATATTCTTTCGATTACTCAACTCTGTTGATGCATGCACAAAATCCAAGAAGCTATGCGTTTCTGCATCTGTGAGATATAGAGCAACACTGATGGTTCCTGGCCAATATTTAGATAAATCTTCTAGAAGGGATATTCTGTCCACGCTGCATTGCGTGACAAGAGCAACATCCACTGCAGAATAAACATTATGCTCATATTCGAGCAGGAACAGATGAGTTCGATAACGGATAGTAGCAGCTTTAGTAAATTTTAGACACATATTTGATCGATCATACTGAAAATAAGGTATTAAGATTATTGTTTAGTTGCTAATATGATGCTTGCTTTAAATCTATTAACTTACAATCGTCGTAACTTCAGTTTCATCACAACCAAACAGTCGCCTACGTAATAGATTTCCATCCAATTCCAGAAATACTTTATACATATTACGAAAGTCATCAATGTGCTTGTTTCGTACAGCTTGTTTTCTTGGGGAATTCCAGTGAATTATCTAATATTTTTTACAAAAAAAGAATAATTGGACTATTTCCCAATCGAAGCATGCATATTTTGAGAAAAGGAAAGTATCGATTGACGTACATTAATTTCATTGGTATTACTGTAGCATCTTTCGCTTATTGTGTGATCACTAAGTTGAATATTCCATGTGCATGTCAGTCTTTGAATAATACTTGGATACTCTTTAATGACAGCATTCAATATATCTTGATCTGCCAAATGAGTTTCAGGAATAGTTCTCAATACGTTTATGGTTATATTTTTCCAGAGCTGATAAAAGTCTCTATCTCGCAAGCGTTGCAAGTGCATGAGCATAACACCAGTATTAAACCCTCTTCCTAGGGCTGGCCATGGATTCAGCCTATATGACAATTGTTTTATATACCAATCACTTTGATTCTCAACTAATCCGATCCAATGGTCATTGTTAAACTCGTGAAATAATTGCCACAATTTAGCAATATCAGTCAAAACGGTAACGTCCGTGTCCAGCACGAGAACCTTATCTTCATGTAAAGCAGCAGGCAGAATTAACTTCAATAATCCATAGACACCAGAATAGTGCTTATTTGGAATCCATGCCACTCCTGGTATCCATTCTTCTGCTTTGTAAAATGTTACTGTCACTGTGAATTAAAATTGAACGATTAGATAAGAGCTGTAGCAATAGCAATATTGTTAATGTTATTTATAAACACAAACCGTGTGGTAAATTCCATGTTCTAAAAAGTATCTTCAATGTTCGTTTCGCTATTTCATCAACTATTAGATGAAAATGTAAAGGTTTAGTACGATAAAATACAATGGATTTAACTACTGTAGCAAGACTGAATGTTGAATTATATCCAGCACATACTATAGCAATGTGTATAGATTCACACTTTTCCTAGAATCAAACACTTGTATTATTCTTTTATACCTAAAAATAATCTGCAAAGAACTTACTTTAATTCTATCGTTATTTAGGGAGACATTGACTTGATCAACCTTGGCAGCACCATTTGAAATATTTACTATAAAATTCAATCTATTATCATGTGTAAAATCCTGTAATTTCCCAAGATCTTCTATATATTTATTGTCCAGCGATGAAACTATAATAGTTCATATTTTAACATTCAATACTACACAAGAGAAACTTGTATAACATAACTGTATTAGATATTACCATTTATTAATATGTATAAATATGAGATTACTGAGGCAATCAGGATGCCGAACAGGCATCCTATCCATGGTCGAACCATAATGATATGGCATACATGTTTTGCTATTCGCGGTATGATGCTTGTGTTCCTAAAAAATTGTAAAACCCTACTGAAGAAATATTTAATTCAGATAATGTTTTCTTTAAAAATTAATATACATGCATAATTCACAAGCAATATATTGTGTTGATTGTGCAAATTATAAAATTCTAGTAATATCATATATAAGATGATAATTGGTATACTCATTTTTTATAAAACATCACACATATAGTGTTCTTATTGCATTGTAAATGTACAGAAATAATTATGAAAATTTACGTAATAATGTTTGAAAATTTTCCACATGAGTAAGGCAACGCAATGAATTACTGTATATCACAATTTCAGAAAACAATATATTTTATACTATACTACATCTATAAAGCCACTGCGGCACTAAGCACCTGCATTACGCAGAACATACATCCGTATTCCTTCACACCGGATATATTCATGTATTTATAATTCATGAGTGGGTCTATAGGTCTATTCACGCAAGCGTTTTTCCCTTCCTTCCTTTCCTTATGGCTGACTCCTCCAATGAGGAGATGTGCCAGTAACTAGTCCTAAAGTCAGGTTGGAAAGATTATGCTGGACTCTAGACGCAAGCGTTTTTACAGACAGAAGTACTGAAATGCACAACCGTACGGTGTAGCAGAGACGAGAAGGGAGACGTACAACGCTACGATTTTAGCCGATACCAAAATTATGGCGCTGAATCGTAGCGGCGAGTCTGGAAGTACGTTTTGTGATCATCGCCTCCGTCGACAAAATACATCCCGTCGTAGACGAGCTAAACGTGAAGACGAACGTGTAGCTTGAGGGCAGGGGTTCTCCGCTACTCAGCGGTGGTTCCCAAAGCAACCCTTAAAACGAGATCGGGAACTACAGACCTCTTAAAGAACTATTGAAAAAGCCCATTGTTGAAACATTTTTAAGACATTTTTAAGAAAGTGCGGTGCCAACCTGACATCCGTTTAGCACCTCAATTTTTACTAAATATTATTGGATCTTGATTTATTTTCAAAATTCATTCAAAACATGAAATTGAGGCTAAATCAAAATCTCGCAGAATATACGGAGTAGATAAAAATTGAATTGAAATTGTAGATTATCGAAAATAAATTACGTTCAAATTGAAATATTAATAAATTAGGTGTTTTGAACATTAAAATAATTCATTAAATCAATAAAGTAAAATATTAACACTTAGAAATAGGAAATTCTGGCCAAGCATATTTAGAAGTACTGGAAGATGCCCAAAATTCTGTGCGCGCAGATTCGGCGCGCAGTACTCGGCAAGTGAGAATAGGCGGATGGTGGGGGCAGCGCTCGAGGCAGCGCCCGGACTCGAAGCGCTCATTCTTCCTCGAGCCGGTCTCCTATACTGGTCCCTTGGAAACATCCCTGTCATAAATTTCCAACCTTCTTCTTTTTCTATATTTATTTCTTTATCCTTCATTATTTACTTTCTCACTTATCTCTTTCCTCATTTCTTCTCTAATTTTATAACTCTATTCCTTACTTTTCTACTTTTTGACTTCTTTATTTCTATCTTCCTTTCTGATTTCTCGTTTCACTCTGTTCCCTCTCACTTTACATTGTGCCTGTCTTATTTTTCCTATTTCCATGGTCGGGTCGAGCATATTAATTCAAGTAGTCATATAAGAGTAGTCATCCGGTTAGTGCAGCTAGACTTAAGACCATGGTGTCGGGGGTTGCCCTTCCGCCTCTTCCGCTGAGCTTGCTCAGTGGTTGGTGGCCCAAGTTGTGGCCGCAACAGGACCTTATGGGTCTCCCGACGGGGGCCTTGAGCCCCCTTAGGGTATCTACGGCCATGGTCTTTCGTATAGTGAATCTAGCCAGGTGTCTAGCTCTCGCGTATTTAGTATTATTCCTTACTTTTCTACTTTTTGACTTCTTTATTTCTATCTTCCTTTCTGATTTCTCGTTTCACTCTGTTCCCTCTCTCTTTCCATTGTATTTGTCTTACTTTTCCTATATTTATTTCTTCTTCACTTCCTTATTTCTTTATATTTCATTCCTTTCTTTCTTATTTATCTCTTTCCTCATTTCTTCTCTACTTTTATAAGGCTATTCCTTACTTTTCTACTTTTTGACTTCTTTATTTCTATCTTCCTTT